CGGGTTTGTTGACACGCTCTTGTGATTGGTGCTGTGTGCGTGGCCCCTTCAGTGATCCCGGTGGTGACTCCAGGACGAACGTGGGGAACTCTCTCAAGACCTCCCCAGTGGGGACCATCTCCCGTCAAAACGTGAGACACGCTTCCCCTTTTCTACCTCTCTTTGAATTCTTTAGCCTAGGGAAATGCTGTGAATGTTCAGTACTGTCAAATCTTCTAAAGTGTGAACTTAACCAAACTTTTTACTTTATCAGGTAAGGCCCACTTAGCTATATATTTTTCAGAAGCGACCTGGCCACAACTGAAAGATCAACGAAGTGGCTTATCATGACGCGGAAATGTATAGCAGCGGCCAAATACTCTAAACGCACCTCGATAAATGTGGAAGGAAAACGTGGGTGGGGAGAACCTGGTTCTCACTCGGGCTGAAGACGGCTTCCAGTTACCTTTGGCGGGCAACCGCACATTGACACGCAGCTCAGTCACTTTGTTTTACTCCAAGAGACCTCCCCCCTCGCAGCGACAGAAGTGACTAAAGGTGCTAAAATTATAAATGCGACGTTGCCAGGTCACAAATGTAGTGGACATCTCGCCACCGTAGGCGTGACAACAGCTCTTGATCTGTGAGCTTCTACACTCCATCTTTCATGTTTCACATGGTGGAGGTGTCAGTTTTTAACTCTCAGATGCATTCTTTGTGTAATGTAATTTGATCATCATGATCAGCTTGGCCTGCAGGACGGTGCAGTGGTAACACTCGTGTCTCGGAATAAGAAAGCCCTGGGTACGATTCCTGACTCGGGTGCTTTTCTGCGTGGAGTTTGTGTTCTCTGCATCGTATATTATTTATATTTATAGAATGCCTTTGCTCAAGGTGCTTAACAAAGTAAAACAAATGTTTAATAAAAGAATGATGTATACGGCATGGGCGTGCAATGGCATGGGTTTCCTCCACGTGTTCCGGTTTCCTCCCATAGCTAAAAAAACACAATGGAACCCGTATTGGCAAAATGACAGTACATGCAGATTTCTCAATTGAGACCACACATAGTAGCGACGTCGTCCCCTCCTACAAATAATTGGCAGGACCCTTCTGAAAAAGAGTCTTGAGACTCATTTGGCCTTCCTACATAAACAAGGATGGTAATAATCCATATATCCACTGCCCGATGAAGGCCTCACGCCATCCTCACACCATCATTGCCTCCTCCCCTCCCTGTATATATGTAGAACTTTTCGATTTCTTATTTCGCACCGTACGTAGCCAACCGTGCTATTGGAGGGTCAGCCCCCCCCCCCCCAAACGTGTTGGTGCAATGTTAATACCAGTGATGACAATTAAGCGATGGGCGTCGCAGCACTTCCACATACGCAGGGGGTGAGAGCAGCAGAGTAAACGATATAAAGCAGCAGATGGAATCGTTAATCATTCGGTACAGCGTCTAGCAATTGTTTAAAGTTTAACATTGACTGTGTAATTTTTGTATGACCCAATTGAAATAAGGTCACGCCACAGGACTACATTATAGCATGCTCTGTGCAGTGGCATCACATCATGCATTGTGCACCGTGACATCAACAGTGCGCTCGTGACATCACAGTGCGCTCGTGACATCACAGTGCGCTCTTGACATCAACAGTGCGCTCGTGACATCACAGTGCGCTCGTGACATCACAGTGCACTCTTGACATCAACAGTGCGCTCGTGACATCACCAGTGCGCTCGTGATATCACAGTGCGCTCGTGACATCACAGTGCGCTCTTGACATCAAGAGTGTGCTCGTGACATCACAGTGCGCTCGTGACATCAAGAGTGCGCTCGTGATATCACAGTGCGCTCTTGACATCACGAGTGTGCTCGTGACATCACAGTGCGCTCGTGACATCACAGTGCGCTCGTGACATCAAGAATGTGCTCGTGACATCACAGTGTGCTCTTGACATCACGAGTGTGCTCGTGACATCACAGTGCGCTCGTGACATCACAGCGCGCTCTTGACATCACAGTGCGCTCGTTTCAGTTTCAGTTTATTTATTTTGGTATAGCCCTGTGAGCCATTCGGCTCTTGAATCGGGTGCAACCACAATAAACAAAAAAACAAAAACATGAACAAGAAAAACATCTTAAAGTGACTATGTGACTGTGCAAACAGAAAATCCATGAAAAAAAACAGCAAAATATTCCTGAAAAAAGCACCGTACACCAACGCTGTGTGCAAAAAATCCCAGTGGGATGCAAGTCAAACAACAACAACCACAAGAAAACTTAGATTAAGGCCATCAGTCTAACTCCGTACTACAACAAAACAAACATGTCCAAACCAAAAAACTTTTCCAAATCACCAAAAAATAAAGCCATAATTGCAACGTAACAGTGATCACAAGGACTGTGACCGAATTTTTACAATAAACTACATAAATAACATGTAACACCAAATCCTAGAGCCATAGCTGGCTTCATGAGTTACTCCACAACAACAGAAGCATCAGTCGGAGTATCAAATTTTTCAATGCACCTTTAAGATCAGCACGCTAAATCAAAATACAGATAATACTTTGCAGATAATGGTGATGATGGTGACGTGTGTGTGTGTGATGGTGATGTGTGTGTGTGATGGTGATGTGTGTGTGATGGTGATTATGGTAACGTGTATGTGTGATGATAAATGGCGATGTTGTCTGTCCGATGGTGGCGTTGCGCGTGTGTGTGTGTGTGTGATGGTGATGTTGATGATGGGTGGGTGGTGAAGGTGATGTTGATGATGGGTGGGTAGTGATGGTGATGACGATGATGGGTGGGTGGTGATGGTGATGATGGGTGGGTGGCGATGGCGATGTTGATGGTGGGTGGGTGGTGATGTTGATGTTGATGGTGGGTGGTGATGTTGATGGTGGGTTGGTGGTGATGGTGATGTTTATGGTGGGTGGGTGGTGATGGTGATGTTGATGGTGGGTGGTGATGGTAATGTTGATGGTGATGATGGGTGGATGGTGATGTTGATGGTGGTTGAGTGGTGATGGTGATGTTGATGTTGGGTGAGTGGTGATGTTGATGGTGGGTGGTGATGTTGATGGTGGGTGGGTGGTGATGGTGATGATAATGGTGGGTGGGTGGTGATGGTGATGTTGATGGTGGGTGGGTGGTGATGGTGACGTTGATGGTGGGTGGGTGGTGATGGTGATGTTGATGGTGGGTGGGTGGTGATGGTGATGACGATGGTGGGTGGTGATGGTGGTGTTGATGGTGGGTGGGTGGTGATGGTGATGACGATGGTAGGTGATGATGGTGATGTTGATGGTGGGTGGGTGGTGATGGTGATGGTGGGTGGGTGGTGATGGTGATGTTGATGGTGGGTGGGTGCTGATGGTGATGTTGATGATGGGTGGGTGGTGATGGTGATGTTGATGGTGGGTAGTGATGGTGATGTTGATGGTGGGTGGGTGGTGATGGTGATGACGATGGTGGATGGTGATGTTGGTTGAGTGGTGATGGTGATGTTGATGTTGGGTGAGTGGTGATGTCGATGGTGGGTGGTGATGTTGATGGTGGGTGGGTGGTTATGGTGATGTTGATGGTGGAAGGTGATGGTGATGGTGGGTGGTGATGGTGATGTTGATGGTGGGTGGGTGGTGATGGTGATGATAATGGTGGGTGGGTGGTGATGGTGATGTTGATGGTGGGTGGGTGGTGATGGTGACGTTGATGGTGGGTGGGTGGTGATGGTGATGTTGATGGTGGGTGGGTGGTGATGGTGATGACGATGGTGGGTGGTGATGGTGATGTTGATGGTGGGTGGGTGGTGATGGTGATGGTGGGTGGGTGGTGATGGTGATGTTGATGGTGGGTGGGTGCTGATGGTGATGTTGATGATGGGTGGGTGGTGATGGTGATGTTGATGGTGGGTGGGTGGTGATGGTGATGTTGATGGTGGGTGGGTGGTGATGGTGATGACGATGGTGGATGGTGATGGTGATGTTGATGGTGGGTGAGTGGTGATGGTGATATTGATGGCGGGTAAGTGGTGATGGTGATGTTGATGGTGGGTGAGTGGTGATGGTGATGTTGATGGTGGGTGGTGATGGTGATGTTGATGGTGGGTGAGTGGTGATGGTGATGTTGATGGTGGGTGGGTGGTGATGGTGATGTTGATGGTGGATGGGTGGTGATGGTGATGTTGATGGTGGGTGAGTGGTGATGGTGATGTTGATGGTGGGTGAGTGGTGATGGTGATGTTGATGGTGGGTGGGTGGTGATGGTGATGTTGATGGTGGGTGGTGATGGTGATGTTGATGGTGGGAGGGTGGTGATGGTGATGTTGATGGTGGGTGGTGATGATGATGTTGATGGTGGGAGGGTGGTGATGGTGATGTTGATGGTGGGTGGTGATGGTGATGTTGATGGTGGGTGAGTGGTGATGTTGATGGTGGGTAAGTGGTGATGGTGATGTTGATGGTGGGAGGGTGGTGATGGTGATGTTGATGGTGGGTGGGTGGTGATGGCGATGTTTATGATGGCGATGATGGTGGCGATGTTGATGATGGCCATGATGATGTCGGTGATGATGGTGGCGGTGATGGTGGCGATGTTGATGATGGCGATGATGATGTCGTTGATGATGGTGGAGGTGACGGTCTCTCTCTCTCTCTCTCACCACCTCACCACGTCTCTCTCTCTCCCTCACCACCTCACCACGTCTCTCCCTCACCACGTCACCACGTCTCGCTCTCCCTCACCACCATCACCACGTCTCTCTCTCCCTCACCACCCTCACCACGTCTCTCTCTCCCTCACCACCCTCATCACGTCTCTCTCTCCCTCACCACCCTCACCACGTCTCTCCCTCACCACCTCACCACGTATCTCTCTCTCCCTCACCACGTCTCTCTCTCTCTCCCTTACCACCTCACCACGTCTCTCTCTCTCCCTCACCACCTCACCACGTCTCTCTCTCCCTCACCACCTCACCACGTCTCTCCCTCACCACCCTCACCAGGTCTCTCTCTCCCTCACCACCCTCACCACCACTAAGATGGACTTTGTGGTTCAGGAAGAATGGGAAGTCTCGCCCATGGCACCGCAACCTGAGACCCGCCATCAGCTTCAACTCCGTGGAGATGTTCTGGAGGTGATGGGGGTGGTGATGGTGGTGGTGATAGAGGTGATGGTGGTGGTGGGGGTGGTGATGGGGGGATTGAGTGAGTGTCTGGTTGGGTGAGTGAGTGGCTGGGTGGGTGAGGTGAGTGGGTGAGGTAAGTGGCAGAGTGAGTGAGTGGCTGGGTGAGTGAGCGGCTGGGTGAGTGAGCAGCTGGGTGAGTGAGTGATTGGGTGAGTGAGTGAGTGGCTGGGTGAGTGAATGAGTGAGTGGGTGAGTGGCTGTGTGAGTGAGTGGGCGAGTGGCTGGGTGGCTGAGTGAGTTGAGTGGCTGGCTGAGTGAGTGGGTGAGTGATTGAGTGGTCGGGTGGCTGAGTGAGTGAGTGGGTGAGTGATTGAGTGGCTGGGTGGCTGAGTGAGTGAGTGGATGGCTGAGTGAGTGGGTGAGTGATTGAGTGGCTGGGTGAGTGAGTCTCTCTCTCCCCCCGTAGTCTCTACAACCACATCCAGCCAGCCAGCCATCTCGTAGCCGACTGTGACTACGCAGTGTTCAAGGTGACTCAGTCAATCACTCATTCAGTCACCGCCCGACTCAATCACCCACTCACTCACCCACTCACTCACCCACTCACTCATCCACCCACCAACCTATCTACTCACTCACTCACTCACCCACCCAGTCCCTTTCCCACTGACTCACCCACCCACTCACCCACTCAAATCAACCACTCACCCAACCACTCACTCACCCACCCACTCACTCACCCACCCAACCGCTCGCCCACCCACCCACTCACTCACCCACCCACTCACCCACCCACTAACTCACTAACCCACTCACCCACTCACTCACCCACCCACTCACTCACCCACCCAACCGCTCGCTCACCCACTCACTCACTCACTCACCCACCCACCCACTCACCCACCCACTAACTCACTAACCTACTCACCCACTCACTCACCCACCCACTCACTCACCCATTCATTCACCAACTCAATAAACCACTCACTCAATCACCCACTCACCCACCCACTCACCTACTCAACCACCCACTCACCCACCCACTAACTCACTAACCTACTCACTCATTCACCCACCCACTCACTCACCTACTCACCCACCCACTCGTCCACCCACCCACTCACTCACCCACTCACCCACCCACTCACCCGCTGTGTCGTCTAGGAGGGGGTGACTCCGATGTGGGAAGACCCTGCAAACCTTGCAGGTGGACGATGGTTGATCTCACTCACACAGCAGCAGCGCTACCTGGACCTGGATGCCCTGTGGCTGGAGACGGTGAGGAGTAGTGGTGGTGGTGAGCAGACACTCACCCGGCCACTCACTCAGCCACTCACTCACTCAGCCAATCAGCCACTCACTCACCCACTCAGTCATCCACTCATTCAGCCACTCGCCCACCCACTCAGGCACTCACTCATCCACTCAGCCACCCACTCACTCAGCCACCCACTCACTCACCCACTCAGCCACTCAACCACAAATACACTCACGCACTCACTCACCCACTCAGCCACTCACCCACAAACACACTCACCCACTCAGCCATTCGCTCACTCAGCCACTCAGCCACCCGCTCACCCAGCCGGACACTCAGCCGTTCGCTCACCCGGCCACTCGCTCACTCACCCTCTCACCCAGCCACTCACCCACTCAGCCACTCACCAAGCCACTCACCAAGCCACTCGCTCACTCAGCCGGCAACTTAGCCACTCGGCCACTCACCTACTTTCAGCCACCCACTCTTAGCCATTCGCTCACTAAGCCGGTCACTCGCCCACTCAGCCATTCGCTTACCCACTCTTCCACTCGCTCAATCAGCCACTCGCTCACTCAGCCATTCGCTCACTCAGCCACCCGCTCACTTAGCCACTCAGCCACTTGCCCACTCACCCACTCACCCATCCACTCACCCACTCACTCGCCCACTCACTCGCCCACTCACTCACCCACTCACCCACCCACTCACCCATCCACTCACTCACCACTCACTCACTCACCCATCACAGCTGCTGATGCTGGTTGGTGAGGTGCTCACCCCGTACGGTGAGCAGGTGTGTGGTGCCGTGGTGAGCGTGAGACGCAAGGGAGACCGCATCGCCCTGTGGACCTCCAAACGCTGACAGCAGCGAGGCCGTCATCACCATCGGGTGAGCGAGACGCTCACCTACTGACACATCCAACTCACTTACTCACTCACCAACTCACATACTCACTCACCAACCCACCTACTCACTCACCAACTCACCTACTCACCCACCTAGTCACCAACTCACCCACCTAGTCACCTAATCACCCACCTACTCAGCCACCTACTCACTCACCGACCACCCACCTACTCACTCACCTACTCAGCCACCTACTCACTCACCGACCACCCACCTGCTCACTCACCAACTAACCCATATACTCATCCACTCACCCACCCACTCACCTACTCATTTACAAACTCAGCCACTCATTCACTCACCTACTCTTTCACCCACTCGCTCACCCAATCGCTCACTCAGCCACTCACTCAGCCATTCACTCACCTACTCACTCACCCACTCGCTCACTCACCCACTCGCTCGCTCAACCGCTCCCTCGCTCACCCACTCGCTCACTCGCTCACCCAATCGCTCAGTCACCCACTCACCTACTCAGCCACCCACTCACTCTCCCACTCACTCTCCCACTCACTCACCTACTCACTTACTCACTCTCCCACTCAGTCTCCCACTCAGTCTCCCACTCACTCTCCCACTCACTCACCTACTCACTCACTCAGCCACTCACTCACCTACTCATTCTCGCACTCACTCACCTACTGACTTACTCACTCAACCACTCACTCACCTACTCAGCCACTCATTCACTCTCCCACTCACTCTCCCACTCACTCTCCCACTCACTCTCCCACTCACTCACTTATTCACTTACTCACTCGGCCACTCACTCACCTACTCAGCCACCCACTCACTCTCCCACTCAGTCTCCCACTCACTATCCCAGGCACTCTCCCACTCTCCCACTCACTCTCCCACTAACCCTCCCACTCACTCATCTACTCACTTACTCACTCAGCCACTCACTCACCTACTCAGCCACCCACTCATTCAGCCACTCACTCACCTACTCACACAGCAACTCACTCACCCACTCAGCTACTTACTCACCGACCACCCACCTACTCACTGACCCACTCACTCAGCCACTTACTCACTCACCCACTCACTCAGTCACTCACTCACCCAGCCACTCATTCAGCCACTCACCCACTCACTCACCCACTCACTCAGCCACTCACTCACTCAGCCACTCACTCACTCAGCCACTCATCGACCTACTCACCCACCTACTCACTCACCCACTCACTCAGTCACTCACTCACCCAGCCACTCACTCACCCACTTACTCATCGACCTACTCACCCACCTACTCACCCACCCATCCACCTACTCACTCACCCACACACCCATGCTAATGACGATGCTGGCTGTGTCTTTGTCTGATCTCTCTGGCCATGTCTCTCTGACCGTGTCTTTGTCTCTGTGTCTCTCTGACGGTGTCTGTCTGTCTGCGTCATCGGCGCGGTCAGACAGGGAGAGAGCAGGGGCGGAGAGACAGCGGCACCAGGCTCAGCAAGTCCAGGCCGGCAGGGTTCAGTGTCTTGACGGAGTTGCCCAGGGTGCTATCCGTCCACTTGGGGACTGCATCACCTGGATAGTCGCGTGCAGGGGTGCCCAGGCCAAGTTGACCCCCCGACCTGCCACCGCGAGCAACAAAAGCAGCCTCGGCAGGGCTCGAGCGGCTCTTCTCGTCGTCGGCACACGCTGTGATATCACAGTGCGCTCTTGACATCACAGTGCGCTCGTGACATCACAGTGCGCTCGTGACATCAACAGTGCGCTCGTGACATCACAGTGCGCTCTTGACATCACAGTGCGCTCGTGACATCACAGTGCGCTCGTGACATCAACAGTGCGCTCGTGACATCACAGTGCGCTCTTTACATCACAGTGCGCTCGTGACATCACAGGGCACGCTGCTTGCGTCGACTTCGCAGCACGCTGTGTGCACTGTGACGTCGCAGGGCGCTCTCTGATCTTTGGCAGTTGTTTAGCGTGGTTGGCATGGACACTGCTGCAAGACATTACATATGCCCCCCCCCTTTCTTCGTATGTATGTTATTGAACTTCTTTCGCACCGTACGTAGCCAACCGTACTAATTGGATGTATCCCGGTGCCCTGAGGCCCTCCAGCCCTTGGGTATCTCGGTGCAGTTTCACCGCCTGCACACCCGGTAACTGCATCGGTGGCTTCGCCTGCCTTACGTGCTGTGATTTTGTAATATCGCTACAGTACGGGGTCGCGTATCGCTGGACGGAAATACTCAGTCAGGAAGAAACCGGTATCAACAGGAAGCGAGCGAGATTTTGGGCGGACGTGATGTGAATGGCTTACAAACAGAATGCCCTACCCCTGGGAGGCCATTGAGACGTGCGTGCTAACGCCAGCATACCTATTACTCATAAAGGAAAACACATTAATGAATGTGCCACATACAATGAGTCGCGAGCAATGAATGTGATGCAATTACTGCTCATAACGATTGCTCTTTATCGCCGTAATTACATTGCACTGTTTTAGAATCCGAATCGTGTGAGGTCAGCATGCCCTTTCCGCATGGCTTGCCATCAGCCAAGCCTGTTTGGGTCAGCGACACAAGTCATATGTTCACACCCAGCACGCCACATCAAGTATTCCGCTCGCTCTGGCTATGGCTACTAGTCGCGTGCCTTGCCCACTCGTGTTTGCCTCGAAAATAATCTGAGAAAATAAACCCTGCCAGTGCTCTTTTGATGGCTTTTCGTCAAGGTCAGCACCAGATAAAAAATAGTTTTTTCGTCTCAAATGTAACTCGGCAACTGTCCCTAGCTCAGCCAGTGCTGTGTGCATTCTTCTTGAGGAGCTGGCCCTCTAAAACCGCGGGACGAGTGAGCAGGGTTGGTTGGGATTTTTTTACGAAACAACAGCCGCTTTGAGTGGCGTGTGCTGCAGTGTAAAGTGGAGTTAATTGGGCCTGCCCTGTCCTTCCCCGATGCTTATTAATATATTCAGGAATTAAAAAAAAAATCTTTACTCCACGCTTGCTAAAAAAAAAATTACTGCTGTAATGTCAGGCTCATCGTTTATGTGTGCAGTGTCATTATCTCCTCTGGGACACCACAGCCACATGGGAACAACCTGGCAAGTCCCTTTATTAACGCTCCCAAAACACAGGGTGATCCATTTATAGATACTCCACTCATTTCTAATGATCTCCCTCCTTTCTTTTCAAAAGATTATTGATTATTGTGAAAGCGAATATCCGATATCTTACGAAGTGGCGTTTTACAACAGTTAAAAACTGGGAGACGTGCAGATACTTTCAAATAAAGTGCTCTCTCCTCCATACTATAATGTGTCCCCAATATGGTAATGGAGCATCTATACCTGGATAACCCTGTAACAAGTATTTACGTCGGTCATTCACTTTACTCATCATACCTGGATTCGAATTAACGACGTCCATTTCACCCAGAGGATGGTATGCGTTGTGTATTGAGGTGATGTGAAGACACGTAGCAGCTAGAGTCTCCAACCCCATGGGCCACCAAGTAAACCACTGTGGCCTGCGCTCCTTCAACGGAGGAGGAACAGCAAAGCTACACTTTCTCTCTCTCCTAAAGCCCTCTCGCCGTGGTGAGCAGACCTCGATATTGGCATTCATCTTATTAATATATCGCCATTATCAAAGCACTATTCGTGCAAAAAAACTGCAATACATAGTGCTTTACAGGCATGAACAATAAAAGTTAAATTGTACGCAAAATACAATCACGTTGTAACAAATGTCTAGCAAAGACATAATAAAATAACGCATTAAGAAAATCCTAATTAAAAGCCAGTTTAGATGTATTTTAAAAGTGCTTAATGATTCTGAAGCCCTCAGATCCCCTAGCAGGCTATTCCACAGACGAGGACTGTAAAAACTCAGCGCCGCTTCTTGGCCTTTGGGACGGCTAAAAGATCAGTACCAGAGAATCTGAGGGATCTTGTTGTTTTGATATCTTGAAAGCATGCAAGATATGTATGCAGGTGCCAGACCATTCAACGACTTGAAAACAAATGTAATAATTATTTGGCTTACTGGCAGCCAGTGCAAGGATCGTAAAATGGGTGTTATGTAAGTGCCCTTTCTGGTTTTCGTCAGAACACGTGCCACTGCATTCTGAATTAGTTGCAGTTTA